CAATTGATCAAGATCTCTTTGTAATCTTCAATAACCTTCTTTACTGTCCACTTTAACACCAATTTTGGTGTCATCTCAAACTTACTAATCATGCCTCCTATGTTCCCATCCAAATCATTTATAAATGACAAACAAAAGTGGACCCAGCACCGATCCCTGTGGAACACCACTGGTCACAGGCCTCCAGTTTGAAAAACAACACACCACCACCACTCTGTCTCCTATTGTAAAGCCAACTAGCAAGCTCACCCTGAATCCCATGTGATCTAACTTTACTAATTAGTCTTGTGTATTTCCAAACAGTCCACTATACATCCTTTATAATAGACGTAAACATTTTCCCAATGACAAGTGTTCCAGACCAACTCCAGAGGCTTCTTACTAAAGCTGGGAGGGTACGAGATAATGCACTGTTGGAGGTGTCACTGTATGAATGAGATATTAAACCAAAGCCTCTTCTGGAGAGAAAAGATCCCATGGCACTGTTCAGCAATGACTTCCCTGTTCAATGTTGACCACTAAAATGGATCAGTTTTATTGCAATTACATTTATAGTTTGGAGACCTTGTTTTGTGTGAAGTTGGTTGCTGCATTCCATATATTACTGTGAGTAACTACAGTTCACTGCCGTAAAGTGCTGTAAAGAGTTCCTGTGGTCATGAAAGATGCTATAAAAATGAAAGTTCTTTCTGTCATGACGCTTTGGTGAATCCAACATTAGTTCCCAGAGCTCTGTGTGGTGGCTACAATGTAAACAGTCAATGGAAAACAGAGGATAGGGAAGATAGTCTTGAGCGAAGCCGTTATAGATTTGTCGGTGATAAAAGTCATGAGATGGCACCAAGCCAGTTCCACAAAGTTATCTTTCCACAAACAGACAGACGCTGCCACAGTTATTAATAACACAAATCAACTGAGCTTGGGATGACTGCAGAGAACTGCTGGATGACATTAGAAACTTTGCCAAGAATTAGATTGTGTCCAGTTGCTGTTTCAACTTGCAACTGGAGCCAGTTGACAATTTTAGAAGGGGGTGACCCCAGTGGAAGAGAAGGTGCCTTTAATTCTTTATGGTGAAGGCCAAAACAATCAGAGACTCAAATGTTTGTTCATGGGCGAAGGCACAGTCACTATTTATATGTAAGTATCCAGGTGACGTTGGAGGAAGCAAATAATTCTGCCCACTTCTGGGACCTTCTTATGGCAAAAGCAGCCAAGCGATACCATTTAGCAACATTAGGTCGGGGAAAGGGATACATTTCATATTCAGTGCACTCAAACATTCCCCAGGTCAAGTATAGTCTTCTGTAGATTAGAGAGTAACGCTTTTTGAAACCATTCCACCTGGCCTCACAAGAAGATCTGCCCCCACCTTTCCCCTTCCTTGACTATCTTGCTTACCAGTCATGCCAAGATGTATTTGCTAATTTTCAGCTGGGAAATGAAAGCAATAAATCTACTGTGTTGGACATCATGGATGAAAAAGGAGTTACGTTTGTATTTACAGGGTGCCATTCACAGCCCCAGGCAATCCCAAAGCACTCCATAGTCAATGGATTAACTTCTGAAATACGCATTCTGGGTTTCAGTGTTGTTCCAATCGATCCCATAAATACCGGTTATCCCAAAATGTTTGAGACCGCTTAGCCTACCATGTCTCTATTGCAGGCTCCCAGTCCTGCTGAGCTCCCATCTGATGTTCTAACTACTCGCTCCTATCTGAACTCTCATGCTTACACCAACCAAAATGAGATAGGTGAACCAGCATTTATAAAGAGGGACTGGTTGTCATGTTTTACTTAGAGAGGAGGCTCAGCAATGAAATCCAAATGTGATTACTTTTATGGTCATGGCCCATTTCAATCCACTGCATGGACCAGCCAAGCTATTGGACACTATCCATAATCAAGACACTTCTTAATATTTCAGGATGATTTTCCTTATCCTGGTTTCCTACAAATCCTGAGAGAATAAATACTTACTGTAATCAACTGAGCATGTCAATATAGGATGATAAAGCTCAAATAGAAACCAGACAATAATCAAATCTACATAAATGTGAAATGCTACATTTTGTTATGCCAAATCAGGGCAGGACTTATACACTTAATGGTAAGGTCCCTTTGCCAATCAAAGGGACCCTGGAGTGCAGGTTCGCAGTTCCTTGAAAGTGGAGTCACAGGTTGACAGGATAGTGAAGGAGGCATTTGGAATGCTTGCCTTTATTGGTCAGCGCACTGAGGACAGGAGTTGGGAGGGCATGTTGCGGCTGTAACAGGACATTGGGTAGGCCCATTTTGGAATACTGTGTTCATTTCTGGTTTCCCTGCCAAAGGAAAGATGTTGTGAAACTAGAAAGGGTTCAGAAAAGATTTACAAGGATGTTGCCAGGGTTGGAGGGTTTGAGCTTTAGGGAGAGGCTGAATAGACGAGGGCTATTTTCTCTGGAGCATCGGAGACTGAGGGGTGAGCTTATAGAGGTTTATAAAATCATGAGGGGCATGGTTAGGGTGAATAGAAAAGGTCTTTTCCCAGAGTAGGGGAGTCCAAAACTAGAGGGCATAGGTTTAAGGTTAGAAGGGGAAGATTTAAAAGGGACCTAAGGGGCAACTTTTTCACGCAGAGGGTGGTGTTTGTATGGAATGACCTGCCAGAGGAAGTGGTGGAGGCTGGTACAATTACAACATTTAAAAGGCATCTGGATGGGTACATGAATAGGAAGGGTCCAGAGGGATATGGGCCAAATGCTGGTAAATGGGACTAGATTAATTTAGGATATCTGGTCTGCATGGACAGGTTGGACTGAAGGGTCTACTTCCATGCTGTACAGCTCTATGCCTCCTAGTTCACAAGACAAAAACAGGCTCCTCAGCCCAACACTGCTATCAGTGTCTGACACGCACACCTACACAGGCAGATTACTGGAGCTATAGAGTCAGATCTGTCAGTGCTTGATACACAATCATCATGAAACAGTGAAACAGGCCATTCAGCCCATTTAGTCTATGTGGGCACTACAACCCAAAAGCAAAATACTGTGCATGCTGGAAATCTGAAACAAAAGCAGAAAGTGCTGGAGAAATTCAGCGAGTCTAGCAGCATTTGTGGAGAGAGAGGAACAGTTAACATTTTAGGTCTAGCCTGACTCCTCTTCAGAATCGAAGAGATGCAGAAAAGTGATTGATACTGTTGAGAATAGTGGGGAGGAGCAAGTAGATCATAACAAAAGATCAGGGAAAGATTAGAGGGTGAGGGAGATTTGAGATCACAGGCATTGGAGATCAAATGGCAAAGGGAGTGGTAATGAATTCAGAGACAAGATCCAGAGTAAGTGTTACTATCAGAATAAAGGACAGCTCTGACTGAAGGCAGAAACTTGATAACAAGATACAGGCACTGGAGGAAAAGCATATCAAAATAGAGGGCAGAGCTTATTGTCTGAAGTTGTTGAACTCAATATTAAATCCTGAATAAAAACCAAAAGAACTGCGGATGCTGTAAATCAGCAACAAAAACAAAGTTGCTGGAAAAGTTCGGCAGGTCTGGCAGCATCTGTGAAGGAAAAAGCAGAGTTAACGTTTCAGGTCCGGTGACCCTTCCTCAGTTCTGCTTTTTCCTTCACAGATGCTGCCAGACCTGCTGAACTTTTCCAGAAACTTCTGTTTTTGTTAAATCCTGAAGGCTGTGAAGTGCCTAAATGGAAAACTAAGTGCTGTTCCTCCAGAGATAACACAGTATGGAGCTGGAGGAACACAGCAGGTCAGGCAGCATCAGAGGAGCAGGAGAGTTGACGTTTCGGGTCAGGACCCTTCTTCAGGAGGTTCCTCCAGCCTGGTTTGTTTTTCGCTGGAGCCCTGCAGTTGGCCTGGGACAGAAATGCGAGTATGGTTTATTGCAGGTCAGAGGGTTGTTTGCAGACTGAGCAGAGCTGTTCTACAAAATAGTTACTTAGTCTGCATTTGGTCTCTCCCAGTGTACAGGAGACCAAACTGTGAGCAGCAAGTGAACTGAATCGAAGAAGTACAAGCAAATTGCTAACAAACAAACACCGAGAATCCTGGAGAATCTCAGCCGCTCTGGCAGCATCTGTGGACAGAGAGAGTTAATGTTTTGAGTCTGGTATGACTCTTCTGCGGAACTACTAGTTCACAGAAAGGTTTGCTGAAGAACATAGACAATGAGGTGGGACGAGGCACTTCCTGTGCCTACAGTGGGAAGGTATGGATGAAGGGGGATGTATTGTTAGGGGTGATAGTAGGCACAGTGTCTACAAAGCATTTGCCTCCACATGACCCTCTAATCTAGTCTAGAACCTCTAGTCTAATCTTGTTTCTGTTTTAATCCCTTCAAATTAATTTGTGAATTTTGTTTCAGCAATGATTGTGCTGGGAATTCCACCCATTCAGTTTATGACATCTTTATCCTGCTCCTTCCAGTTAACTTTTGTCTTGTCAAACTAATTAGCACATGCGCCTTATATTGCATGCGTTGGGCAACTCTTGTTTTCTCTAAACTTTGGAATAGCTGGACAGGGCTCATCCCATGTTCATAGCAACCTCTTGTCATTTTCATTGCTCCATTTCAAAGCAAACACTTAGAATCTGTTTGAGAGATGCTGATGCTGTATCCAAGCCAGTAAAAAAAAGGATATTTTAAACATCAAAGTCTGATCGGACATGATCTGTGATTTCCACCAGACTGAGGCAGTTTTGAGGTTTTTGGCAAAGACAGGTCTGTCAGGTAAGCGAACACAAGCTGCATCTCTCAATCTTTTGCAGGAAAAGGCACAAAGGAACACTGAATAACCTCAGAGCAATCTCATCTATCTTTGACTGAAAGTTGTATTTGAATTTATTCATTTATCTGTCCTCTGGCCTGACACAGCCAATACATGTCAGCTATGCATCTGTGTAAGCTCATGTGATGTGCTTGGGCCGGAAACCATTGCGAGTCGCAAAACGCATGGTACTTGGAGAATGAGCAAAGCTCCACTGTCCTACCTGGAACCTTCTTAGCCCAAATGATCATGTGCACCAGTTCCTTATCGGCCAGGTTTGTTAGCAAAGTCATCATGGATGCCTCGGTGAAGGGTTTGCTGGGGTCGTGCTCGGAGTAAACCATGGGCGGCTCGGCTTCCATCAGGGTGCTGAGAATCTCCTCCGAGGTCATGCCCAGCAGTGAGCTGTGCTTGGCATTCCTCTGCACCGGGCTCACACTGCTGGAGCTCGGTCTGCTGGTGACTCCAGTACTCTTAATAATGTGCTCCTTCTCATCTTTCCTCCGCTTGTGCTTCAACATCCGACCACCCCTACGGTCCTTCCGAATACCTGGCAGTGCAAGAGGAGAAAAGGTAAAAGTCCAAACTGTTTAAGCGACAGGGATTTCATTCAATGAAACAAAGTTGGTTCCTCTTGTGCAGTTTCTAAAACACTGGTTTGAATGAAGTACTCACAATGTTTATTAGGGGACTGTGAGCCATAGAACATTCATGTTAGTTATAGGCCTGGACCCAGGACTACCTTGACAATATGTTAGAATAACATATTTGGACTCAATGAGAAAGCAGGAAGGAGGTTAGATTAGAAAAATCTAGTGAAGGGCAAGGAGAAAGAAAGAAGGATTTCCATTTATATATCACTTTTTATGACCTCATTTTACCGACAATAAAGTACTTCATGTAGTCATTGTCATTAGGTAATTAAAAAAAGCAGCTGATTTATGCATAGCACGATCACACAAACAGCAAAGTGATAATGACTGAATAACCTATTTGCTGGCATAATTTGAGGCATAAATATCGCCCAGGAGAATGGGGAGAACCATCCTGCTCTTCGTTGAGTGGTGGCCCATAATCCTTTCTGACCCCTCCCTGGAAGGTACAGCAGCTCTTATTTTGACGTCACACCTGAAAGACAGCACCCCTGGCAATGTGGCAGTCCCCCCTTACTGCATTACATGTGGGGGTGTCCCAGTTTTAGTGTTGTTTCATTTATTCTATCCAGGGATGTGGGCATCACTGGCAAGGCCAGTATTTGCTATTCAATGCCTCATTGCCCTTAGCTGGCAAGACCATTTCTTAGGGCAGTTAAGAACCAACTACTTTGCAGTAGGTCTGAAGTCACTTGTAGGCCAAACCAAGTAAAGAAAGCACATTTCCTTCCCTAAAGGATATCACTGAAACAAATGGGATTTTATACCAATCAGCATTGACTTCATGGTCACTATCATAGAAATTAGTTTCAAATCTAGATTTTTATTGAAGTGAACTTAAGTTGATCCAGCCGCCATGGTGGGATTTGAAACTATGTTCCCAAAGTATGAGACATTACCGCTATGTCACAAAACATCTCCTAAGATTAGAAGTTTGGAGATGGAGGTTGATGCTTCTGTTTGGTCTTCTTATTAAGCACTAACATTCTTCCTCTCAAGACTCCCTCTGCACTAAATGATACTTCGATCTCCCATGGCAGAAAACTGCAGGTAGGTGAGAAACCAAGGACTGCATCTTACCATATTACGGCAAAATGTCATGGAGGGTTTCTCTTTGTGAGGCTCAGAGAGTTTTCTTAACATTACAAACTCACCTCATTAACTACTTACCACATCCATTGGCTCCCTTCACAGCAAAAGTACCACCACTTTCTCTCCGATACCTCTCTCTCTGTGACTGCACCCACCTCCCACCAAGGCTCATGCTCTGTCACTCTTGCTATTCCCTCACCCACCTGATTTCCCCCACACCACTAACACTGCTTGGCCTCTGTGCTGTCTGATCCACTCACTTGGGACACCTCACCATCATTCCTCCCACCTACACCAGTATTAACAACTGTGCCATGCACTTTCACCTCACTCCGTCGCTCCGTCTCCCTCGTTCCAGCCTACAAAAGGGCAGAAAAGGCCAGGACGGGTCATGGGATGCCTGACATATTTTTCCTTGCCCCCCAGAAAGACAGGATGTGGACCCTGACTGCCCTGAATGGGTGATTGGCTTTGTCCAAGTCCCTGGACACCCTGGACAGATATTGGAAGTTGCCCTTTACTGACTGAGCCCAGAGTTCCTGGCTGCAAGCTGCTTCCTTTGAGTTGACAGGGGGGTACACCCCTTTGACTTTGAGACATGGCCATTTGGTTGATGCACGTGCAGTGTGTTAGCTTCGTAAGCTGCTAACATGGGAGCAGATAGGCGATTGACGTAGCATGGGGCCGTACAGCAACATGCCCACCCTCCTGGCTGATCATTGCTGGCAAACATGACAAACTGCCTGGCAGTGCTACAAGGCAAGGCAAGACAGAAGTACTTTGTTAGCTCTGGTTGAGAGGGCAAAGTGTCAAGAGGCAAGGCAAGGTGGGTGAAAGGGGAAACAATACAGGCAATAAGAGGGACTGATGGGACAGGGACAAATAAGCCACCTTAGTATCTTGTAACAAGTCCATATTCATAATATGAAGTACGACCATGTCATGCTATTACTGGATAATACAATCATATGTATTAGTTCTAGTATGATTGGATAATCCAATTGTGTGTGTATGAGTTTGAACATGATTGGATAATATAGTCATGTGACTGCTTTGGAATGCAAGTTATGCAGCCAGGGTTGGACAGAGTGTGCAAGGCTTTAATTGGAAGTTAAAATAGTCAAGTGGAAGCATCTTATCTGTAAGAATTGTATAAAACCTTACTTTTTCTGATGAAGATTGGAATTGTGTGCCAATTTCTTGATGCATATTTATTCCGTGCAAGCATGAATAAGCATACAGTATAAAAAAAAATGAGTGTCTTCTGGTCTAAGAGGAAATAAAGGATAGAATTAACCCAGAGCACAGGGTTTACTGTGAGCATCCAGGGAGGCACCAAGGCAGAGAGCAAGCTGCCCTGAGATGTGGATAACACAGTATGGAGCTGGAGGAACACAGCAGGCCAGGCAACATCGGAGGAGCAGGAAAGTTGACGTTTCTGGTCGGGACCCTTCTTCAGAAGTGGGGAGGGGGAAGGAAGCTCTGAAATAAATAGAGAGGAGGGGTGGGGCTGGGGAAGGCAGGTGGGATGGTGATAGGTGACTGCAGGTAGGCAGTGGTGGGGATTGGCCAGTGGGATGGGTGGGGCAGATAGGTGAGGGAGAAGATGGACAGGTTGTGTCAGGTCAAGTAGGCACAAATGAGAGGGAGGGTTAGTCATGGGATGAGGCCGGGGTGGGGAGATTTTGAAACTGGTAAAGTCCACATTGAGACCATTAGGTTGTAGGCTCCCGAGGTGGAACATGAGGTATTCCGCCACCTCCTCCCCCATTTCTGAAGAAGGGTCCCGACCTGAAACGTCACCTTTCCTGCTCCTCTGATGCTGCCTGGTCCGCTGTGCTCCTCCAGCTCCACACTGTGTTATCTCTGACTCCAGCATCGGCAGTTCTTACTATGCCTGCCCTGAGATGTGGCCTGCTCCAATCCATGAGCTGGAAGCCTGCCCCTAGCGTGCAAACTGTCCTGCAACAGCATTATAGCAAGAGGCGATGACGAGTTCCAAAGTGCAACATTACAGTGTTGGCTGGAGAGGCTGGACTATATTAGATCCCGGTGTCCATGGATGTGGGCTGTGTGCAGCCTATGACCATAGTGTATGCCCCTGAGATGTTGGAGCTGTGTGTCCAAGGGGAGCAAATGGGAGCTGGGAGTCACCAAGTACCCACTCCGACTTCCATGTTGGGAATTCTCACATCCAGTTTCTGTCCAACGGGTGATAGAAAGGAAAGCTGCATATTAATAAGGCCAGATTAAGTAGTCATGAGGATAATGGTGAGTGATAATCCCTGTGAATAGGCCTATTGCTGCTCGTGGGTGAGAATCTCATCTTGACATCTGGAACTTAGTTGGAAAAGTTACCGCTCAGACATTGGGAAAGGCCTTGCTGGATTCTCACCTGATTCTCCCTCATTTCTTGCTGTAACCCCCATTGTTCAGGGACTGGGAGGATTCTGACCTGAGAAATGACTGAAAGCTCTGGTGGTTTGATAAAGATTATCAAACGCTCAAACTGAGCTGAGAGATGATTTTGGTCAGGGCTGACAGTCATTAACATGATACAGATAAGAAAGTGATGAAGCGATGTGCTCTCGCTAACCTGCAGCTACTGTGGTTGTTGTGTCACATCCCAAAATGTGATTAGATGAGAAATTTAAGGGGGAGGCAAAGGCCTAGGGGTATTGTCACTCGACTATTAATCCAGAGACTCAGCTAATGTTCGAATCTCACCAAGGCAGATGGTGGAATTTGAATTCAATAAAAAAAACAAACTCTGCAATTAAGGGTCTAATGATGACCATGAAATCAATTTCAATCGTTGGGAAAATCCCATCTGGTTCACTAATGTCCTTTTAGGGAAGGAAATTGCCATCCTTACCTGATTTGGACTACACGTGACTCCAGACTGGTTCAATCTTAACTGCCCTCTGGGCAATTAGTGATGGGCAATAAATGTTGGCCTAGCCTAGAGATGTCCACATTGCATGAGTAAATAAAGAAAAATTCCCACCCTTTTTGATGCATGTAGTCTTTGATAGTTGAGAAGGAGAAAGAAGAATGATTTACCTCCAATTCCAGCCCACTTTTACAACAGACATGGAAACCTAACAAGAGGTATTGATGCAGAGGAAGCCATTCAGTCCCTCAAGTTTAGTCTGCTCAACAGATCATGGCTGATTGGTACCTCAAATTATTATGTCCGCCTTTGGTTTCCTTAAGAACCGTACCCAACAAAAATACATTTACTTCAATCTTGAATGCTCCAATTGATCCCCAACATCTGGGCTATAGATTGTTGCTATCTCTTGTGTGGAAAAAGCCCTTCCTAATTTCTCCCTGGATGGCTGTAATGCTTATTGCCACTCTCTCCTTATTCTGAATTCTCCACTCAGAGATTATTTCTCTGTATCTACCTTATTTAAATCATGTAAACATCTCAGTTGAATCTCCCCTCAATTGGCTATATATGTCCAGTGGGAGAACTTGCAATGCCACCTGCAAGAGAGATTGATTCCCATCAGGAAACTGGGAAAATTAGGAGCCGTATGGATTGGAAATCAGTCCCTGTAAGGATTAGGCCAGATGGGACCATGTATTTACCCCCATCTCACACTCCCACCCAACAGAGATGCCCCTGGGAAGCGACAGCCTGGACAGTACCATAAATGATGCGAGTCCCCACACCCCAAATATAGACACCCTGCCCCTCTCATTTCTCCCAATTTCAGAATTCTTACTCTACCTGGAGCCCTCCCTCTGGTCTTGAAGCTTACTTGACCTTCTCACTGAGAACTGTTGGTGGCTCCAC